TCTGTTCATCACTGTTGAGACTAAGTCCTGGTGCCAACAAACATCTGGAACTAGAAAGCAAAACATTATTTGTGGGGAAAACCAAGTGGAGAAATGCTGTCTTTTGAGAACAGAAACTCAAGGTAGTTGCAAGTAAATAATGGAGGTAAAGAATTCCATCTGGGACAGGGGATTTGGTGTCCCCTGGGATACTTTTCAAAGCAGGCAAGGCTCTGTGTATGTGATTGTGCAGGGATGAGTCTGCCAAGTGAGATGGAGAGCTTCATCATTGGGTCGCAAGAAAAGTAGCTTAAGTCCGTTAATTCAGCATGACCCAAAAATCCTTCCAATGCAAAGTGGCTCTCACAGCACAGATGAGTCTGTCTCATAACTCTGGCATCGTGAGATTTACTACAGAAACAAATTACTGTAATGGTTTTTAATTAAATTATGCCTAGCAAGTGCTATTTGAAATTTGGAGTTTGTCCAAAACTTTAAAATTTTAAAGCTTTAAAACTGTTCTTTGTGGTGTTGCCTTTTGGTTTTTAATATTGGCAGTGCTCATTAGATACAGTTGTAATCTTAAGCTTTGGCACCTCTTGTCTGATACAAGGGTGTCGCAGATCTTTTGTGTAATATTATTTTGAAAAATCCTGTCGATGCTGCATTTTCCTGTGGTATCGAAAAATCATTTGTCCAATCAAATCTAGCCAGCTTCAACATCATGTAAGATACAGGCTATGTATTTTTGCTGCCATACATTTTTTGCACACCTTTGTGTACTGGAAGAGTGTTTGTGCGTTAAAATACACACATCTGGAAAAGCTGTAGAGCCACAGTCATAGGGCTGACATTTGAGCAGACTGTGATGAAGAGCAGTGTTAAGGTCCTAGCACATGAAGTAATGCAGAAATCTCTAAAAGCTTGTGGGAGGAGGAGCTGGTAATTGTTCCCCTGCTGATGACTAGAAAGTGTCTCTTAAAAACAAATGCTCCTTGTTTAATAAATCATGTGGCCTTCAAACATTAAACCTAGTGTTGCTTCACAGACAGGGAGGGACTCTTAATCTGGATATAAACCCTTAATTGCACAGAAAGTCACAGATAGGCACACAGTTGTGAATGCACAGACACACACATGTAGTCCTGTGGGCTTACAGTTAGGGTGAGAAAACTCCTTGCAGCCAAGTGAAAAGAAAGGAGTAAAAGAAAAACATGTTTCTGTTGCCAAGCAACCATCAGAAGGCTAGGCTGTCGGCAGTGTGTGGTGGACACGTGCTGAATACTGAGTTGTTGATGTGCTGACTGGCCACAGCTCTTGCAGAGAAACTGAGCTTCTCCTGAGTTACTGAATGTCTCTTCATCACAAAAAACTCTTTGCAGGTGTCTTAATGCACCAGTGCTTGAAGAGCTGTGAGAGTCTGTTAAGCTGGTCCCTTTAAGCCAATAATGAGCTCATTAAGTTTAAATTTGTTGACAGACAGGCCCTTCAGGAGCAGCACTGGGTATCCTTGCCCTGGTGGCATCACACAATTGGCAGAGGGCCTCTAGGTTAGGGTGAGTGTTTAGCTGGCTCGCAGTACAAAAGCAGCTCCTTTGTCTTCCAGCTGTCAGTCACAATAACATGACATGGGAAGGCTAAAAGAAAAGCTCATTGGTCAGAATTTTCAATTAAGACAGTAAAGCTCACTACTAGTCTAAGCCCTTTTATAGGAACCTCACAATCCTTATCATGTACAGACCAAGATACTGTCCATGTAGACTTACAGACAGATATTAAGTGAATATCTGTTTCAAAACGAGTCGTTAAGACTCCAGGGTGGAATGAAAATCAGAAGATACATGCTCTCCAGAACCATGAGTTAATATCAGTGGATTCAGATATAAGAGAGTCATAAGAGACTCTCCTAAGACATAAGAGAGAGTAAGTTCTCAGCCTGAGAAAATGCATTCACATTGTAGTCTAATGCAAGGATGGTCAACTCCAGTCTTCATTTGCTTCAGGTTTCTGTAGTTCACAGGCTTTTACTAAGATGTAAGTGTCTAGTCATTTTCAATCCATATCTAATCTTAATTACTTAATCAGTTTCAAATAAAAAAAAAACCTATATAACTTTAAAACCTGCAGGAATCTGGTTCTTGAAGACTGCAGTTGGCCAGCCCTGGTCTACTACATTATTTAATGTAATTCTGTTATAAGTTTTCAATAGGACATCTCTTATATACTATACACCGATATGTTGCATATACTGAGAATACAAAGAGATTTATTATATTTAGTTGTATATGTTTTTATAACAGTTGTGTGGATTTTGGACATTGATCACATGTTCTGAGAGATTTTGAAAGCTCTTTAGGAACTGAATTGCCAAATTAGAGAAAGTTTATATACAGTAGGGCACAGGTTATGAGGTGATTTAACCTGTTGAATGTTAAGCCTGGCAAAAATCAAGAATGACAAACCATAGACATGAATGAGAAAACCTTGTTTCTCAAGAGAACAATACCTTTTTGCGATCAAACCTTTAAATTCCTTAAATTTTTAACAGCTGAACACCAGATATCAAAAAAGCAAATGAATTGCATGATATATAAATTCTAATAAGGAATAAGAGTGATTAGTGTTATTTAAGGTTTTATGGTGTAGTTCAGCAGCCCTTTAAAACTGTTTAATGACGTACAGGATGTCTCCAATTTGACAGTGTGTAGCTGTCGACATGTTCTAGGCCAGCTGTGGGCTTCTCATCAAAAGAGAATTTTCATCTTATGAGGCTAACTTGCCAAGTACATTTTTAAAATACTTTTTGCAGTGCAGACAATTGAAGGCTTGAGCCCTAGAGAATTTAGAAAGCTAAACAGATGTTTAGCATCTAACATCTGCAATCAGGGAGATGTTGAATCTGGCTTCTGTAGTATTGGGTGCCATGAGCATTTAAATAAATAGAAGCACAGATTCAGGAAGGTGGTTAGTTTTGCTGCAATATATTGTATCGTTTTGGGTTTTTTTTTACCTTGTATTCCCTAATGCAATTTCTGAGACAGACTCCATGTGGCGTAGAATGGAGATTGATAATGGAGAACCTCTGTAATGGTGCACTGACGCTAAACACCAAGGAATAATTGGTTGCAGATCAGGAGCAGGTGGGATCTGTTTAATATCAGCCAGAAAAGAAGGCTGCCTTCCTGGGCTGTTTCAGTGCACAAAATTGAATGCGTCAGCCTTCAAGGAGACACATTAATTAATTCATTGCAAATATTTCCTCCTTCTGTTCTGGGGCTCCGTGGTGAGCTGGGTGGTGTTAATTCGGTAGCAGAAACCACTTTTCTGTTTATTGATTATGGTCTCCTTGGTTTAGGGGACAGAGGGAGTTCTGCTGTGCTACTTAAGAATCAGAGAAAGGTTACAAGCCGGAGAGGCTTTTTGGCTTATTGAAATCCTTTGATGACTTTTAGCTTACTGTTCCAAGGCTTTGTGTTTTTTTTAAATTAGAATGATCAACCCACTGAATTGGGAATCTCCAATGCTGTGTTTTGCACGTCTTGACTCAGAGCTCCAAGCGCACCCCCCGTGCAGGACGTTCAGTACTAATTAGAGGAAAGTGGTGTCCTTAATGACAACACCGTATGCCTGTATGCACCTGGGAAGCTGCCGGGGACACTCTGTCACCTGGAGTTGAGAGAGCCGTGTGGAGTGGCTACTTCCAAACTTGCTCTCACTTATTAATCAGCTCGTATACTCTAGGTGAAATACATAGCGCTTCTAAAGTAAGTGTGCTTTTTGCATCGTTTCGACTGAGGAGTATGCTAAACATAGAAATGGGCCCATGGGGAATACATTACCATAGACAGCAGTGCTGCCTGCTGGAGAAGCTGTTGTCTGTGTGGGAACGTATTCCCCATGGTCCCAGTTGTAAGTTTACCACATTTCATCTCACCATGGTACTGAGCTTTCACAATTCAATTTGTTGAAAACTGTAACTAACTTTGTGACACCTATGCTTTTTTGAAGTGTATTAAATGCACTTGTTAATAGAGGCAATGAACAGAAGCTGTGCCATGGGGAGGGACATTTTGGCCTCTCCATGTGATCCGCCTGGCACTTTCTTTACGTAGTTAACCCTAATTTCCTAAATTTTCCTTGCTGCTTCAGATCATTCAGATTAAGAATTTTTTTTATAACGGATGCGAGGTTGCAGTGAGAGTGCCAAAGCTGTTTACCCTGGCTCTCTGTCTCTGTGGAACGGTCTTCACCCTTAGGCTTTATTTTCTATCACAGTGATCCTTTCTGACAGGGGAGACTCTTTTTGCCTCCAGAGGAGTGAGCTGTCCCCCCTCTTGCAGCTGGAGAAATTGCTACACACCTTCCGCCTCAGCAGCTCACGCTGCCCCGTCTCTCAGTCCAGCTTGCTCCTTTTTTAAACCTGCAGTTCTTAGGTTGCTAGGCAATGTGTCCTTGCAGGACTGCTGCAGGTCTTTGTTGGTTCTGATGGAGAAGGGGCTGATGGGTAGGTTGCAAATGCCAGGCTGTCATGTTTGTCTTGTTGTGATCGAGCACGGAAACCCACGCATGGCCATGAACACATTATTTTCTGAAGGAATAGCTTTGTTTTAGACTGTAAACGTGTATTTCATGAGTGTCTCTCATCTCATTTATTCAGTATTTTGGAGAAAGCACAAGTGAAGTGGAGAGGAGCCGGTGGGCCAAATAAAGCAGTAACCACACATTAAATTCAACTTGTTTTATCCTGTCATCAGATTAGTGAGACGCTGACCCTTGAGCGAATTGTACTGACAATGCAGAGAAGGGAATAGGTGCATTAATTTTCAGTTCCATGTAACAGATTTAGTTAACGAGCATGGACTTTTGGGCTCCCTTTGTTGTTGGCTGATAGAGAACAGTCTGTTCCTTAATAAAATCTGTAATGGCTCAAGCTGCTGTGTGCTGGGAGTGTTGTTTCCTGAGCTATGCATGCAAGAGGTTTAAGACCATTGAGTGCTGTCTGGTGCTGTTTTCTATGGCAGAGAACACCACCTTCAACTCGAGCAGCGAGGCAGAGCGGAAGACTCAGCACTACTACCTGTCCTGCCTGAATGAGCAGAAGATTGAAGAGCTGGGGGCCCAGCCACTCATCGATCTCATCAACAGGGTAGGACTGCCAGGCAGTGGAGCAGGTTAGAGAGGTGGTACCACTCCAGTCCGCAAATGCTGGACTGTCGACACAGTTATGTTTTTTTTAATCATAAATCCTTACACTTATATATTTTCTGGACACTACACTCATAGTGCTTTACACGTAAAGGAGGCTCCTCTCTAGCAATGTGCAGCCTTCAACTGGAGGAGGAGATGGCAGCTGAATTGCGCCAGTACACTCACCATACATGAGCTATCAGGGGGGAGGAAAACAGACTTATGAAGCCAGTTCATAAGTTTTCTCATCCAAGGAATGGCGCCTTTTCACACTATAATGTCCGCATCACTATACTGGGGCATTAGAATCCACACAGACCACGGGATAAGGGCTCCCTACTGGTCCTACTTACACTTTTTCCAGAAGTACCTTAGCTTTCCTGGGAAGTCCCCACCTCCATGTACTAGCCAGGCTCAAACCAGCTTAGCTTCACTGGGGTTGCCATGTGTGAGTTGCAGGGTGATATAACTGCTGGGACTTTTTATGCCTTGTCAAGCTCCCTCACGTGTCTGTAAACACCTGGTAAATTGCAGATTTGATGCCAGCAAATTGCACATTACCATTATTGGTTGTCACAGCTGTTTTAGTAAAGCAACAGAACTTTAAATGTAGATTATAGAAGTCTGTTGTGCTCACTGTCACAGTGAGAAAGCTAGCATGCTGAATAAAAGTGAAATAAGGATTTATATTATGATAATATCACTGATGTCTTTATGCAATATGAATTAAAAGTAAAAAAATAGGAATGGATGATATGTCATTTAAAATAATGAATAATATGTTTGCAATTTGCTGGAGTGTGTATGCCTAGGAAACATTGCAATACTCAAGCACCCTCAGATTGGTGTTGGAATCTGTTATGTCCTTATGTGGACAGTACCACTCACCAGGAAGATTGAAACTGTGCATGTCTCTGCAGATAGGGGGCTGGAACATCACAGGATCCTGGGAGAAGGACAATTTCATGGAGGTTCTGAAGACAGTTTCAGGACCCTACAGAGCTCAGCCCTTCTTCACTATTGGTGTCAGCGTGGACCCCAAGAACTCCAACAGCAATGTCATTCAGGTCAGGGTCACAGGTTACTGGGTCAAAGATTATGTGACCACCAAAGTTTAAAAAAATACTATTGCATTATTAGGCTGTTTTTTTTATTCTTGCTTTTGTGTGCTATAAGGAAGAAGAAGAGCTTATCTTTCACAGTGCGATTTCTTTCTATAGGGGAGAGCATAAAAGATTACAGTGAAGACCTTTCCAATATCTTCTTTTTTTTCTAATCTCAATACCTTTTTTTCTGTTTTAAAATATGAATCCTTTTTATTGTTTTGTTGCAAAATTATTAAAATTGAACAATTTTTTTAGATTTTTCTCCTTTTTGCAGCTTGTCTGTCCACCTGGATGAATTTATTATCAAAAAGATCCAAACAGGGTGAACTGAAAGTTGTAAAACCATCTCTGGTTTGAAATCTTGTATGTTCCCCATGTTCTATGTTCTTGTTTGTTCTCTTGTATGTCCCCCAACCCAATTTAGAGGTAATCTTGATTTAGACTTTAAGGGGAGTCTGTTATTGGCAGTCTTTCTTGGCAAATACCTGCAGTCAGTAATTGCAGAGAGTCCATTGCCAGCACTTTTTCTAATATGAACTTCTGAGTTTTCTGGCAATCGCACATGGCAATTTATGATTTTTTTCTGTACTGGGAAAAAGAAGTAGTTTTGCATTTTTTTTTGTTGGGTCTCCAGTATCTCAATTGAAAACAGAGATTAACATTAAATAATGGCTACAGTGTACATGTACAACATGGGCATAATAAATATTAATAGACTTTATGGAAATCAGTTGCTTCTGGGAAAATGTGCTTAGAACAACATAGTAAGCAAAATTGCTTCCAGAGTTGTGGAGAGAACTGGAGAAGTTATTGCACCTAATGGTATTTAATCCAAGACAATCCCATTAATTAAAAATGCAATAAAATAATTGCCTGAACGTAGTTAAAAACAGATGCAAGAATACAAGTTGTCCACCTATTTTTATATGATTGAAACTCTCAACCCCATGTTTCAGGATTACTCTTTTAGCCATGAATGTCAAAAATCTGATTCATTACCTTCCAAAATGTTGTCTCTTATGAGAGGCACAGTCCCCAGTACAATAAAAATGGGTTCAGTCTCTGTGGGTATTAATAGAACTTGTTAAAAAAAGGAAATTCTAAGATGGGACAGACAACTAATGTGTTCATTGCCTCTATTAACATATCAGCTATGCTGTGCCACCCCTGATTACACCACTGATGGATGGACAAAGTTATTAAGGGGTGACTCAATCATGTACAGCAGTACAGAGACTGTCATTTAGAATCAAGGTGAAAATGAGGTTCCTCTTTGGTTTGTGCCTGACCAGTGAGTGAATTTGCTAAGATTCTATCTTATGTTTCAGGTGGACCAGTCTGGTCTGTTCCTGCCCTCTCGAGACTATTACCTCAACAAGACGGCCAATGAGAAGGTACAGAGGGGGAGGGGGTGTAAGGGCACAAGTGCTTGGACACCTGTAACCTGGAACTTCACCCCACTTTTTTAGACTTTAGATATCTTGCACAGTGGTGTTTGATTGCTGATGTTTTACAGTGGAGGTGTTATACTGCAGTTACACAGCTGCAGAAACAAATACACACATGTTGCATGATGCAAGCAAGATAATTTCTCCATTGTGAGAAATGACACCACTTTACAAGTGTTTGTACTATACATACTAGAAGATGAATCAGTGAGAAGTACAGAAAGTGTCAGTAAAGAAGTGCTAGTGAGTTAGCTTAACTAATTTAAGATTCAGGGTGTCAATGCTTGGATGAACAAGAATTCAGGATGATTATGGGAGGTCTCACTGGTCCCCTAGTGTGAAATGAGACTATTACAGTGTCACTCCCAAGGGCATTCAGCTGCCCTGTGTCATTTGGAAAAGCAGGCTCACCCCTGCCCGTTTGGGATGTGCGGGTCAGGTGTTCAGAGGTGCCAGGGAAATGGCGGCCCGAGTCTGTGTGCCTGAATGCATGTGCAGCAGAGATGTACGTGACAGGTAGGCTCATTACAGCCAGTCATTAAGTGAACAGTCTTATTTAGGCTATAAGCTGTCGCTCTCTGTTCGGTGACTGTGAGTGCACGCACCTGACTGTAACAAGCACTCCTGCAAATGGGTGTTGATGTGAAGACTGCTAGATGCACAGATTCTGACGTGATGCTTGTGTAAATGTGCACTCTGATCCTGGGAGCCGGCACACTGAGCAGTGTGCTGGTTGCCTGCCTGTGCCAGCAGTGTGCGTGCGCGCATGTGTGTGAAGTGGTTTGAAGTGCAGGCCTCTACGCAGCCACAATGCTCCTCCTGGCACTGCCCAGGCTGCGGTACTGAAGAGAGAGTTCAGATAAATTCCCTGATCGCATCCAACTGCAGGCTCCTCAGAAACAAACAATTCCAAAGACCTTATTTTTAATTCATGAGGAATGCCAGTATATAAAGACGGTTCGTTATTTATTTTATTTCCTCACTGGAAATGGAGACAGGAATGTTATTGCAGTTTTATGAAGATTAAATCAGTGTCTTGTTTCCACTGAAAGGTTAACTTTGAGGATTTTAGATTTAATACTTTATGTATTTTTTCATTTGTACCTTGACTTGGCTTAAACTAACCATATAATTAGTTTTCCTTAAAAAAAAATGGGCATCCAGTCAGCACATTTGTTTCCCATATTAAGGGGCTGATTTTGAATTCCCAGTTTTACATCCCATCTCGTCATAGAATTCCTGAGCAGATCTGAAAAGATGGAAGACAGCCAAATTTTACTTGGAGGAGCTAACCAATTATTCTCTGTTCTTTTGCTGTGTAGAGTAAACCGGTTCTATCACCCATTATCCATGCTCCCTTCAGATGGAACTGTATGGCGCTGAATAGTGTCGCAGGGTGGTCTGCAGTTTCCCTGCTACAGGATGTATCATTGAGCAGAGGCAATGAGAAAAGGACATGCTCGAGAGAGGAGTGTATTTACCATATGTACATGTTCATTGGGATTCATATTCACGCTGTTCTCTTGGGATGTGGACAGCACAAAAGACATCAATTTTACACAATGTGCACAGTACATTACAACACAGTGAATAATAATTAATGACAGTACAACAAAGCACAATAATATACAACAGGCAGTACAGAACAATAAACACACTGGACAACAAATACAGTACATGGTAGTCAAGTAAAAAGATGCAAAGAAGCTTTTGAGTGGAGGCTGTGGGATTTCTCAGTATTTCTCCTTTTTAAATATGGTTTAAATCCTTAGGAATCAATAAATATGTTAGAAAAAATTAAAGAAAAGTCTGCATTAATTGCAGAAAACGTTTCCTTGAGTTTAATGCCTTTGTTTTCTGTTTTTTCCACCACTCATTGATACTAAGCAAAGTAATTTCTGACCATCTGTAATACAGACCTGGTTTGCAGTGGCAGGCCTTTGTGAATGTTTCCCTGCCATTTATGAATTTAATCTCCTTAAGAGATTTCATTCAGAGAGTTTATACCATTTTAAAAGAGTTAATATAATTAATTATAAATTGCAAAATAGATTTCTTAAAACTCTGAAAATGTTGAATTCAGTTGATGAACAGGAGTTTTTTTCTCCATTTATCAGTTATTGGTACATAAAAATCTGAGTGGAATGAAAATGAAGGAATTAAATGGGGGGTGTTTAAAGATGCTTTAGCTTTGAGTCTTTAATGGGTTTCTCCCATGTATCAGTGGTATCTGGTGGCTTAATTAAGATCTGTTTAAAGGGAGGCATATTTGGAAATCTCCTTTGAGGGAGATTATAAACCCTACACTGAGGGTGAAAGAATTCAGTGGGCACTAAAGAAAAGGTGAAAGCTCCATGGAAATCATGGCGAGTTTCAGATGGGCCAGGGATTGTGTGTTGCTCTTGCAGGTGCTGAAGGCCTATCTGGAGTACATGGTTGAGCTGGGACACCTGCTGAGGGGGGATCCCCAGTCCACACGCATACAGATGCAGCAGATTCTGGACTTCGAGACCATGCTGGCCAACATCACGGTGCCTCAGGACGAGAGGCGAGACGAGGAGAAGATCTACCACAAGATGAGCATTGCTGAGCTGCAGGTATTGTTTGCATCCATCTTGTGTTTCTCTGAGGAAGTGTGTGATATGGACAATCACTGTCCACTTACATCTATCAGTGCAGCTGTGTCCTTGTATGGACTGAAAGACTGAGTTTATTAAGCTATATTCACTCTCGGTTTCTGATAATTGCTTGTCAGTTATCACTAAGTTCAGACTCACCTGTTTGTGGATCTGTGTTCCTATCTGTCAGTCCATGTGGCTACATCTGTGGGCAAGTGGCTGTGCATCTTTCCCTTGCTGTAGATACAAATCTGCCTATCTCCTGTCTCAATGCTGGTTCGAGGATCCGTGTACTGCTGGGCAGCACTCAAAATGCTCTTCTCTTTCTCTTTAATTTCTGAATCCTGAGCTGAGCATTCAGACTCCTGCTGTGTCTGTGCCGAATTCAACACTCAACTTGTTAACTGTGCCAGATCTTCCTGTGCCGGAGTCAATTGCACGACAGCTGAAATTGATTAATTAAAAGAAAAGCCAACATGTTTATTCAGCCCGGATGTTTTTGTTTTAGTTTCCATTTTATGAAAGTTAGAAATAATTCAAACACATTACACATTCTAATTGGGCACTTATAAGCTTCATTTTTTTCCCAGTTTAAATTATGTGAATGGTTCACTAAACAAAATAAAATTCTAAAGAGCAAGGTGCTTACACAATGGTAAATGGGACAGAGCAAAATAAGCAGACTAAATTTTAAAAGCTTAGTTCTAATCACCTCAGTAGGAAAATATATTAACAAATACAGTTTCCTGTTACATGGGATTAGTGCATGCAGCACAAGTTAATGCTATGTGTATAGAATTAGATGGAGGAGGTGCTGTAGGTGAAGTAAAAAAAAATACAATTTTGGAAAAAACATATTGAGTTGAAGATATCTGTTCTGCTGGAAAATTGAATGGCCTTGCATAAATCTCCCACTTTGCTCCTAATGATTTACACTTACAGGATGAGGCTGTTTTGGTTTTGAAATTTTTCTCATCAATTCCAGATGTCAGAGGGGAGCAGAGAGTACCAGTACAGGATCAGTGAATTATTCCAGTCCAGGTGAAATGTTTACAATGGGAGGTGTCAAAATGAAACAGGTAGTGAAGTAGTGGTACTGAAAGGGAAAGAGCTAGTTGTTGCTGTCCTGTAATCCTAGTGTAAATTGAGAGATTGCCTCCCTCTTAGGTCTTGTTTGTTTCCTGGTCCGAGCAGCTGCTGGCTAAATGCACAGGATGTTCATGCAACTGTTCAGCTTGCCAGGGCATTTGTCAGCACTGTGCGCCTACGGCCAGTCCACAAACATAACACAAGAATTTGGCAATATATACATCCACATTGAGGAACAGACTTCTTGTTCCATTGTAACTTTTTGCTTTACCAATCCCTAAATGGTTTGTGATGAGTTTAAGCGAACATTGTTTCAGAAACTGATTTCTACTCAGTTTAATGTGCTTTTTTAAGCATATAGATCAAACTACCAAGTGACAAAATACGAAAAGAAGTCTGTGCAAGTTCCTAGGTGATCAATCTGGCTCTTTGGGTCCCATACTGCCTGTGTTTTTTTCTTCTCTGGGGGAAAAAAGTGGTGTCTGTTTAGTTTACTGGTGAATGCTTTATCTAGATGGTCTTTAAAATTCCTATTTACTGTGAAACTTGGTGTGTTGTGTCATGTCACCCTCCCACTGTAGCACACAATCAGCTGGCATACAAGCAGTGCATGTTGAAGTCTTTGCTGATGAGCCCTTTATTACTGTGTTTTGGCTCAGAGTGGGACTATCGTAGGGTCATAAACAAGCCTTTGTTGTTTCCAAGAGTCCTGCTCTCCCACAGAGTCTGAAGGCAGCTCATGGAATTTCTGCAATCATAAAAAGATGCTTTAATGTGAAAAAATAGATAAATGCAGAAAAACCTAATCCCCATCCCGACCCTCCTCTCTTCTTATCTGGGTGACATAAGCTGTGCCTCTCCCAGCTGTTTGAAATTCTGGAGAAGGGCTTTCTGTCTTTGCATTATTGAACAGCACATCCAGAAGTGGAGAAGGAAAGAATTGGGTGGAGGATCTGACTTGAATAGCAAACAGATCAAGTTGCAGTGGGTTTTGTTTTTACTTTGAATTGTAAATGGGCCACAGGTGCACAGCAGTGTTATTGTAATGGAGTGTCATTGTCACTTGGCCAGCCAGCTTGGCTCCTTGTACTCTTTTGCGTGATTTTGAGAAACCCAGCCTTGGGCCATTTGTTATAACCAAAACAATGACACACCCACAGAAGATGTGTTCAAAACCATGGATTAGCCATCAGCTGAAAGTGTCTGGAATAAAAAAAAACTGCCAGCAAGCTCGGGTTTTGCAGTTTTACAGGAGAACTGATATTCAGGTTAAATGCTGAGTTGTCTCCTGCTGCTGAAGTAGCTGCACCTGTCTGAACTGAATTAATGAAGCAGACATTTCATCCTGTTCATTTTTATTCTGCATAAAGGCGCTAATGGTTAGCATTTTCAGGCGATGGGGTCATGACAGCAGTACTGGAGATCAGCTTTCGGTTGAGCACATCATGATTTTTGAGTTTGGATATTTCTTTCTGGTGTTCATTGATGCACATAAGGTAGTTAGAAAATGCAGCAGTTTGTTTTGTCTTTGCTCCAAAATCCACGCAGGATATTAAAATAGTGTAATGTTTAACTTCCCAAAGCCATGCAACTTATTTAACAAGAGTTAGCCATAATGGAAAGAAAGTGTACAAAAATTTAATTTGAAGGCGATGTATCCAAGTATTTTAAAGAATGTCTTTTGCTGACAAGCTGAAATAACTAGCTTTTTTTTTGTTTTAATGTTAATATTCAAAATCCTCAAAGATACTGACAAAGTCAAACTAGTGGACTTCATCTGAATGAACAGAGAAACACAAACCAGAGGATAAACGGATGTGGGAGTATGGGTGTACAGCTGAGGCTGTAGAGTTGGCAAATGCTGGACTGCCCCTTGTGGAAATGGGCATGGTTTTGTAGCTATAACAGTGAGTAACGGAGCCCACCTCTCCTTCTGTGCATATCTCACACATGTATGTTCGTATATATAAAATAAACAGATCACAAAGCTACTCTCTGTCTCTTAGACAAATTGATTCTTTTGGTCGGGTTCACATAGCCTGTGGGCTTACAATAGTAAACTCTCACCATCCTGGATCACATCAAAATTTGATCCCAACAGGCCCAGCAGAGAAACTCATTTTAAAAGGTTTACTTTTAATATCCTTTCTTAAGCCATTCAGTACATGAGACTGGCTTGTGATCTTTGCAAATGCTGTGTGAATTTTTTTTTCTGTGCTTCTCCACTTACCTTGGATTTACCCCCGACTCATTTTAGAGCTTGATTCCAGTGTTTGCTTGTCCAGCAACTGTACTGTTTTGTTTGTCATTCGAATTCCCTCACCAGTTTGTAGCCTTTATCAACTGAGTCATAAAATTCTGATCTTGATCTCAGGCTATGGTCGGACTTGCACATAATGGGTGGCGTTGCAATAATCAGAGAAATGCATTCTTCGCATTCTCACAAGGAAATTGGTAAACTGACTGCACCTAAGGTTCCCTATGTAAATAGTGACTGAAGAGTCACAGTTTGTCTAGCAAGACCATCGTGGTTACAGTGACCATTACATATCTGAGGGAGAACAAATTTGGGAGAGTTCTATTAAAGCAGAAATATTCTGGTGGAGTATACACTAGATTATGACTGCACATCCTTTGTAGTAGCTTCGATTATTTCCATGTCAGAATACCAGTATGAGAAAGATGGAAGCATACCCAGCCAAGAGGAATCAGCTGGGTGAGCGTTTTTCCACTGCTACGGGTTGCATACAGCACATGTAGCACATACAGGTATTACAACTTTTAGGATGGGAAGAGCATAATAATGGGCGGGTTCCCTGAGTTGTAAAATTGTTTTTCTGACTGGACTTGGGTTTCATGTGTCGGACCCCCCTGCTGCACTATCTTCTAGGGAGGATCTGTCACAGTCAGGCTATAGCATGTGAGTGTTATATGATTATGATTTAGTATGATGTGTTGAGTCCCTGCCCTCCCTGTGTGTGATGTTGACAGCTCCTGGCTCCAGCAGTGGACTGGCTGGACTACCTGTCGTCTGCTCTGTCTCCCCTGGATCTGAACGACACGGAGCCCGTGGTTCTCTATGCCAAGGAGTACCTGCAGCAGGTGTCCGAGCTCATCAACAACACTGACAAGAGGTGAGCGCATTGTGCCAGGTGTGTCTCCTACCAGGGATCAACTCCCTCCACCACGTGGACACAGATGTGCAGCAGCCTATAGTCTGTTAGTAAAGCATTCTGGGACACGTCATTATACTGAATAATACTGAAAGCGTGAAGGAAGCAATTTCACAAAAGACAAACTTCATTTAAAGAAAGGCTCTTGAGCTTCTCCATGGTACAGATTGAGCTCTGTGGACCTGACAAATCTGGCTCAGTTTAACCAGGAATGAGTGTGGAGTAGTGGTTTAGGGCTCTGGAGGCAGAACTGGATGGTTATGGTTTAAGTCCTGGATGGGGTCACTGATGATGTACTCTTGAGCAAGTCTCATCTGTCAGATTATGTAAAGTAAAAATTAAAGTAACAATCATTCCCCAGGCGATGGCAATCCTAGCTTTGCTGGAAATAAATCAGCATAATTCAGCCAAAGGTCTTCTCAGCTTTTGACATAACAACTCCTTTGGATCTGCAGGGCACTATGGGGTGTACTAGTGTTTCACATATTGAGTGGCTATATTGGGTGGGTGTCAGGTTGGTATTATTACTGCACAGGACAGCACAGGAGCTGCTGCTGTAAGGATCGAAGACTGGTTTGATAAGAATAAAATAGAATTTATTTAAATCTATTTAAAATAACAATTTATGTATTAAAAACAGTAATCTTTTATAAGTCTAATGAACATGTTTGAGAATTTGATCTACAATGCTTTATGAAAACATATCACATATTTTGTTAAAGCATGTTAAAGAATTGCCAGCAAATAGCTGCATTTACAAAGTGTCTCCTCTCTGTTCTCTGTCCTCCCAGCCTTTTAAACAACTATATGATCTGGAACCTGGTGCAGAAAACAGTCTCCAGTCTGGATCAGCGCTTTGAGAATGCTCAGGACAAGCTGCTGGAGAGTCTGTATGGAACTAAGAAGGTGAGAGGGTACTGTAGGGCACCAGGTGATTTTTTGTGGGTGGGGCCCATATGAGGATTTCACACTGTTCTTGATTACCTGTGGAAAAATCCTATCTACTGATTCCAGGACAGACTTAGCGAAAGACTGCAGTGGTCAATGATCTAGGGTCAGGGACTGCTGGAGACTGGAGTGATCAGTGATCTAGGGTCAGGTATGGCTAGGGACTGCAGTGGTCAGTGATCTAGGTTCAGGCATGGCTAGAGACGGCAGTGGTCAGTGATCTAGGGTCAGTCATGGCTAGAGACTGCAGTGGTCAGTCATCTAGGGTCAGTCATGGCTAGAGACTGCAGTGGTCAGTGATCTAGGGTCAGCCACAGCTGAAGACTGCAATCTTTAGTAATCTATGCTCAGGCACAGTTGAAGACTGAAGTGCTCTGTGATGTGATCTTAGCAGAGACATTTATGCTGTATTTGTATTTTTACTGAAAAATGGCATTTGGAGTAATTGTAGTATCCTCATTCAGTGGCTAAAGATCACTTTAACCTTTGATTCAGTGAACCAGCACGGAGTCAAAGTAAGAAAGTGGGAGCTGGTTTGGACTGAAGGTGATACTGTAGCTCCCTGTTTGAGATCCCTGGGTTATAATGTGCATTTGAAGTTTTTTCCTTTTTACAGCCATAGTGTGACTGATCTTTCTGTGGAAATTCAGTCCCTGCCATCTCTTGCCATGTTAAGCAAATGCCCCCTCCCTCCCCCCATACCTCCTGCTATTAAGGGATCTTGTTTTGCACTGCATGACTGTTGATGCTAATGGAAGTTTTAAAAGCTGCTTCCCGGGAGATCTTCAGGCTAATTGGATTGGAAGGGGAAGAGGGGAGCAAGGAGCAAGGTGGAACAACAGAGGAGACACAGAGAAAAGGCAAGCCTCATCTCTATTAACGGACAGACAGAGATGTCTAGTGGCTAACAGAGGGGGTCCTTAACTGGGATCTTTAGCTGGGTACCATAGCAACAGGAGACGGTCGCTAGGTGCAGAGAGCTACACGGAAGTAAAGCATCACCCACTCCTGACACTCACTCGCCTGGCATGGAACAGACACCGCAGTACACAAGACTGGCCATGTGCCCTGCAGTCTCAGCCATCACATTAAGAATGTGTTTTTTGCATTGTTTGTGCGTTGGTGTAGTCCTTTTCACAGAGCCGTCAATGTATCAAAATGGGTCAGCTTTGTCTGCTGGATATGCGGAACCCTGTCATTGAAGTATTCAGTAGCGGAAGATGCACAGTGGTTTTAAATGCCACTTGTTTTTACAAACGGTCCGAGGAAGGAGCTTGATCTTTTAAAATGCCTTCTAGCAGGCATTTTAGTTGTGTATCTAAAAATTGCTTCTGATGCAATTTGAGTGGTGGAAACATAAGAAATGTTGTAAATGCGAGGAGGCAATTCCTCCCATCTTGTTGTTTTGGTTACTCAGCAGTTAATCAATCTCAGAATCCCATCTGGCCATTTCTGGAAGGAGCCCAGAGAGCTGGCCTTGGAAATGTGGCTGGGGTAGTTTGTTCCAGATGCTCAGGACCCTCTGTGTTAAGTGATACCTCCTGATACTCCACAAGGCACTTTCTTTGAACACCCTGTGTCCTTGTTGAGTTTGATTTAATCCCTTACAGTAACTTTCCCATCACCTTGATAATTTCAATAATTCATTAATAATTTTGAATAATTGCTTTGCAGTTTCCATTTGTTCAAGACAAAATGTCTGTGTATGGAGTGAACACTGTTACAGTGGTGTGTGAAGATTATACTTTGTTATCTAAATGACATATTCTATTTTGCTTACTGACAGTTGTCAAAAAAGAATATTTATGCAGTGTGTATTCTGTGTATTTGGTTTTTTTAAATCTTTAACGAACCGCGCATTGCTTAATTCATTGAGAATTGGTTTAATTCCATAGTGATTAGCATTTGTCTAAGTTCAATAAATTGTGTAAAGAATTCCTTTCCTCTGAACTATTTTTCACAATAAGGGGTAAGTCCTGCAAGACTTCAGTTAAGTATTGTGTACATTAATTAAGTATTCAAAATCATCAGTGACTTTGGCAAAATCAACCTGTTGGATCATTGGTTCACAGGAACCAGATGTCAAAATGTCGACATTAAACAATTAATGTGCTGTGATTACACAATACAGAATTTCAAATCCATTTATCAGTCTTAATCATGTCATTCTAATCTAGGTTTCATCAAATAACCATAAATGTATGGATATCTAGAGGGGAAAAAGTCAGACCTTGACTATTTCCATAAATCCAGATATTACAATAAAAGTCTGTGAATGTGTTTAAGTGAGACAGGTTAACGGCACTGTTAACTATGATGTGTGAACTTGTTGGTAACATGGGCAATGTAAAAGATGTTATCAAATCCAGGTGGTACCCCCTGTCCCAGACTTAATTTTGACTCAGCACTTGGACAATGTCTCAGGTCAGGTATTAGCGACCTGTTTTTGTATTAACAGTGCTTGGTTGGCAGTCCTTTCCTAGCTCCAGTCCCATAAACGGCATCTGTATTGTGGTAGAACTGTATGTTTGTTTACAGCGCTAGCGGACAGAGGTTTGGCTGTGAAGTGTCTTTCTGTGCCATGGGTACTGACAATGCCGGTGTGTACCTCTGTCCTCAGTCATGCACCCCGAGGTGGCAGACCTGTATTGGAGACACAGACGACACACTGGGCTTCGCACTGGGCGCCCTCTTCGTCAAGGCCACCTTCGACAAGCACAGCAAGGAGATTGTGAGTGCCCCATGCCATGAACACATCCTGTGCTACTATGCCTCTGAACAATGTGATGCAGAACCTGAAAACTGTTGACTGCAGACTACCTTAGCAATATAAGAGAGTGAGCTTAGGCAGCCTGTATCACACATGACACTGAATAATAATAATAATAATAATAATAATAATAATAATAATTGCTTAAACTTATATAGCACTTTTCTGGACACTCCACTCAAAGCGCTTTACAGGTAATGGGGACTCCCCTCAACCTGAAGTCACATTGCTTCACTTGTCACTGCAAATGGTGTGAGAGTTCACATTTCTTATTTAACACCCAGCCTCTCCCAAAAAAACAGACCTGTTTTCCTACCGATTTCTAATTTTCCAATATAAATGCCCAAGGAGCCTGCTGGTTTGAAAGGTTAAAGTAGTCCTTGCACTGCTGCAGCAGGCACCCAGCTCCTAGACAGCACTTCCGATCCCTCTCACACTTTTGTGAACTTTAACTCTTCGAACTCTGCTCAAACTACAGTGCTCCTCAGAGTAACGATTCCTTCTTTACACTTTGCTTACCATTCACTGCACATCGGTTTAGCTCTGCCTAGCACCTTACATGCCTCACTGTTTTGTTTTTTTTGTTTTTTATATTTTTACGCGTCTCTTACTCTATTTTAGTGATTCATTTTTGCTACTTTTCATTGTACATTTTGTTTGTTGCCCTTTATAAGAAAATGAATAATAAGAATATTTATAACTGGTCTGTGTAGTTTGAAATTCAGCAGGTTGTACAGTGCTTTGAAAAAGTTTGCAAAACCTTTTTAACCTCCTGAAAAGCTGATTAAACATATAACAAAAAGACATAAGATATATTCTGATTATATAAGCACAAAATTATCCAAAAGTAAAAAATATCTTTGTGGGAATGAATGTTTGAAGCTTTAGATTCTGTAAATGGTGGCACCTCTTCAGCAGCAATGACTTTAAATAGGCGTTTCCTGTAACAGTTTTATCAGTCTCTCTCATCAGTGCTTAGGAATTTTCGTCCATTGTTCCTTACAGGACTGCTTGTTCTACTGACCATAGAAATGTCAGTGGCATTTCACAGCGGACTTGTACAAACAGCCTTTTTCAGGTTCTATCATGACATTTCATTGGGGGTTAAGATGGGACTTTGACTTGCACAATCCAGAATGCTAAATTTGATCTTAAGCCATTCTGGTGTAGACCTCCTTTTTATGTTTAGAGTCATTGTATTGCTGCCAGACCCACTTTCAGCTCAGCTGCAGATCACAAGTGGCCTGAAATTCTCCTCCAGAGTTTGCAGATACATGTCCAGATGCACGGTTCTGTCAATCATGACAAGCCATCTGGTTCCTGAGGCAAACCAGCATTCTTCCACCACCATGCTTGATGGCTGGGATAAGGGTCTTCTATTGGGAGGTGGTTTTGGTTTTCACCATATAAAACATTTCTTATTGTGCCAAAAAATATGGTTTTTGACTTATCTGTTCGGAGAAAAGTCTTATAGTGGTCTTCTGCTTCTTTGGAAGCTTAAGATGGGTGGAAAATATTATTTTTAGAGAGCAGTGGTTTCTTACTAGCTATCCTCTAATGAAAACCATTCCCATTCAAACGTCTCCTGATGGTTGAGGCATGAACACTGACATTAGCCACTGTGAGAGAGTCTTGCAGATCCTTAGCTGTTACTCTAGAGTTCTTGAGCTGGGTAGAGTTAGTTTGGTTTTAAATATTTTCTATTGGTAGTTTGGCAAATGGGTGGGTTTGTCAGTAAATTTGTAGGAATGGATATGTAACCCTCTTGTAATGGATGAACATCAGCTACTCTTTTACTGAAGTTATTTGAAATGTATTGTGGCATGACTGATATTCACTAGCTTGCATAGTGAAGCCCAAACTCAAAAATTTTTAGACCATTACATAGGACAGAGCTGCCCAAATGCAGTCCTCGTTTAATTATTTAATTATTTGCATCTCACAATACATTGAATTAATACATATAGACACCTTTGGTTATTTAATACAACTGGTTTTGATTCAACAAATGCATCATGATAAGCATTTTATATTGGAGGTTCACAAACCTTCAAAAACCAGCACTGTATCTTGTTAACAGGGAGAAACATTAAATTGATCAGAGCAGTTAATTCCTTCTCCACACCTTTCTCCACACCTTTGAAGACACTGCAAACCTCAGGTCAGCGGTCTGGAGCTGGAAACCCATGATTGTACCTGGGCTGTGGTGCCACCTTGTGGTTATTTTTAATCCTTGCTTTTAAGATTGCATGTTTAGATTTTGAGCACATACTGTATTGCTGTTTGAATAGTGACTTAAATAATAATAAATAACTCCAGTGGGTCAAATTAATTGATAAGATTGTTCCCTGTGCAGGCGGAGGGCATGATCAATGACATCCGGACAGCCTTCAAACAGTCCCTGGACAAGCTGAACTGGATGGACACCCAGACTAGACAGGCAGCTAAAGAAAAAGTAAGTAGTGACTGGAGCATGCAGGTGTCATCACAAGCCCATGTGACTGAGAGCATAGCCTGGAATACACCCCCAAAACATACATCATGTACACTGTGCCAACCTTCGGGTTGATGCTAAAGTGAGGACTACTTGGTTATTAAGGATCTCAAAGCTGATACCCTGATAACTGGTGTACTGACTAAATTTCACACTGGTCTCGTAGACGTTTTACGTTTTCTCGTAAAAAATTAAGACCACCGACCAAATCTTCAGCGCTCAGAGCTGCGCTTGAGCAGCTTAAACCAATTGTCTGGTCTGATCTATCTAAAGGTCCCCCTTAATTCAGCTGGTGAAGCAATTTCTCTCCCCCCCCCCGATCTACTGTATGCAGCTAGGCTGCCTTGTATCAGGTGGATGAAGGACTTTAGTGGTGGATAAAGTGACTGCTCTCCGATATGTGAAGGCTTTTCTTGATCCTTTGGAATTAAGACTATTATTTAAATGCAGCCAATTCTTAAGGATTATTGCTATTTGTGAATTCTTCATCTAGTTATGTCTGTTCTTTCCTTTTCATATTCAGGACCTCAGGTTTGAATAATATAGAATAATATGAAAATGTATTCAGATATCTGGGTCTGAAGGGGTGTTAAGTTACAACACTGGTCGTCTATCTTGTTTTTCACACATCTCCTTGATTTAGCTGTGATTCAGTTAACATAACTGGTGTCTACAAAAGGCTGTTGTATTGCATTTATGCTGGTGGTGAAATTTATCGTGCTGAGCTGCTAGTTGTGTGCTAAATGTGTAGGAAACAAAAGTAATGAAGGGTTGTGGGGATCAATACGTTGTGAGGTTTGATGACAAGGCTGTACAGAATCGTGGAAAACTCCTAGAACATCATGGAAATTTAAACTCGGGGCCTGAGACTCCTGCCTTCATTTCCACCCCTATCCTGTAGGCTGATGCCATCTACGACATGATTGGCTTTCCAGACTTCATTCTGGACAACAAGGAGCTGGATGATGTCTATGATGGGGTGAGTGAGGTCTCACCAGCTCAAATATTCTAGGCAAATATACAATCTTTACTGCCGCTTCAGAGGATTGCAGATGTTTAAGAACTTGAGTGTGCAGTCAGCCCCCATTCTTTGTGTTAAGAATTAATATACAAGAGGCAAGCGATAGTGTAACATGGCACCCTTACCCAATGTTTTGCTTGGTGTCCTTACTCACTGTATCCCATGATACCCTTCCCCAAGCTACTCTCATGAAGTTGAGTGATTTCTCCCTTCTTCTCTTTCTCTTTTTAGTATGAAGTTTCAGAAGACAACTTTTTCCAGAATACGCTGAACTTTTTCAACTTCTCTGCTAAGGTGATGGCTGACCAGCTCCGCAAACCACCCAACAAGGACCAGTGAGTGTGCAGTGCTGCTCTGACACACTGTTCTATAGAACTGACATACAGCACATAGAAGTTCTGTGGTGTGGATTGTGCTGACTGTGTGTCCTCTTCCCTTCAGATGGAGCATGACCCCACCGACAGTGAATGCTTACTACATGCCAACCAAGAACGGTATCGTCTTTCCTGCTGGTATCCTGCAAGCACCTTTCTACGCCAGGGACCATCCCAAGTGAGCCCTGCTCCTCTGTATTATCTCTCATTCTCCACTGGCACCAATCTTTCTCTTATCACATTTGCCCGCCACCCAACAGACTTGGGGCCAGAAAAGGGGTGCACAAGGTGCAGTTTTATTAAACGTTGATGAATGGATTCTTGAAGCTTTAGCTTTTCAGGCAATCATAAATCACCCCAGCTTAATCCCTTATTGTGCTGTCAGCCTGATGCCTCTAGGTGATTGATGGAGAAATTGAAATCTCTTGGAGGCTGGAGTCTGTGACCTAGCTTGATCTGATCTGCAAGAAATATGTTTTCAAGGTCATGAGGTTATAACATTCATAAATTAAATTATTACGTCAACCAAGAGTGAGGTGCAGAGTACAACAGATTTCCTAAATGTAATGAGGAAGATCAGACAATGTTAAATGTCTAGGAAGTGCTGTACCTCAGTAAGGTTGTGTCTGCATCTCTGCAGGGCTCTAAACTTCGGGGGCATTGGAGTGGTAATGGGGCATGAGCTCACGCATGCCTTCGACGACCAGGGTGAGTCTGCAACCTCTCCTGATCTGGCTGTCCTCGGTCACTTGCGTACCCTCCTGGTTTCACTTGAGATGTTTCTGCTTGGAGTGTTCCAGCAGGAACAACGTACCCTGAGAGATGCATTGACATGTGGAGCAGAACTGCAACAGTGTTTTGTCTGTTGTGTCACTCCATGGTTCTTACTGCAGTGTCAGTATTATTTCCAACAGCCAGCCTTAAAACGGTGGAGCTCCTGCTCATGTGATGCTTTTTACTCAAGTGTGTAAAATATGGCTTTTGTTCAACCGACAAGTTTTTATTGAAAATGCAACAAATAAGCTCAGTATTATGAGTATCCCTTTGGGATCCGTAAAGTTACGTTCATCTCTTTGAGCTTGTCGGATTATGATGGCAGAGCTCAAGGTATACAATTAGAGCAAATGGCACAGATGTAAATACTGCAGGATCTGTTTCATGTCGTATCTCTACAGGATAAAAGCAGAAGTCATTTCTCAAACAGGGCACTTTGTGGTAACCACGGGATATTTGAGATTGAGAAACAAAGGCCACATGTGTAAAATTAATAGAAATAAAAATACATTGGACATATGAACAAATAAAATTGATGTGTCTTTAGATCTTGGTTGCTGGTAGCTTACCAATGTAAGGATATGCATCACTTTTTTGTGTCTGCTTGTTTTCTGGGGTTCTAGTTTCATTGTCCTGTGTTTCAGTGTTGGTCACACATCTCCATTAGAACTTGTCATAAGAAACTCAACACTGAGAGCTGGGGCTTTTTAGGGGGGAGACAGGCAGTTACAAACATTATTAGGTGAAGATCTTAACCTGGCGTTTAAATATTTTTAAAAAGGGTTGCATTTCAATACCTGGTGGTATTAGGGAAGGGGGACTGACCCACGCACCTCTGCTCCTAACAGGAAGGGAGTATGACAAGGATGGGAATCTGCGCCCCTGGTGGCAGAACTCCTCGGTGGACGCCTTCAAGAACCGGACCGAGTGCATGGTGGAGCAGTACTCCCAGTACACCATCAATGGGGAGCATGTTAATGGGAAACAGACACTGGGAGAGAACATCGCTGACAATGGGGGACTGAAAGCTGCATATCACGTAGGTTCTCTCTGTTACTGACATATAAATATATCAAGAGAAAGACTGACTAGCTGCCTGGATTCTGTTCAACTTGTAAACGTCGGCTTTCTGTTTTGACTCGCCCCAGATTTATGAAAGATGAGTGTTTAAAAAACATTTTGTGTATATATATATATTACAAAATATTTTGTAAATCATATAAATTATACATAGTTTGTGACATGTTCAGGTTGTAAGTACAGAACTGATTAAACTGGAGGATGTTGAGATACAGTCTTGAATCTGGTCACCTGACCCTAACCCTTATGTCCTGGCCAAATTTCCCCCTGGCCATTACCAGCCATGGCTGCCTAATAATCCTCATCTATGAGCTGGCTTCATCACTCCGTTCTCCTCCCCACTGGTAGCTAGCTGTGGTGAGCATACAGGTACTTTGGCAGGTGGGGGTTACTTATTTGTGGTGATGGAGGGGAGTCCCCATTACCTGTAAAGCACTATCTACCCGTTTACCTGTTGAGCGGAGTGTCCAGGAAAGCACTATATAAGTGTCAGGAACTATTAAAATCGTGCTCTCAGGGTGTTACAAACATTGTCACCTTGACTTTTTGAAGTTACACACACTTCTCAAGTCCCTGTGTCTGTGCTGCAGGCTTACAAGTCCTGGGTCCAGAGAAACGGTGAGGAGAAGCGGCTGCCGGCAGTGGATCTGACGAATGACCAGCTCTTCTTCGTGGGATTTGCTCAGGTGAAACAGCAGAGGGCAGCACTGAGCAGCTCAGCACTGTGGCAAACGTTCATAGTAGTATTGTAATCAGTGAAATAGTCAGACACATCACTTTAGCTATAGAAAAGTGTCTTGTTCATTTTTCTCTGTACTGTTCTGTATAACTGTTATTACTGTTGTAATAGTAACTATTTTGTATACTATTCTGTATTCTGTATAAGAGTACAAGCAATCCAGAACATGTACTGTAAATCCTAGTAATTTAACAGTGCTAACTTGTACCCCCAGACCCTGGATCTTGTACTCTGCTTCTCTTTCCCATTCCCATTCTTTTTTCTCCTTATTTCTTCATCTCCTATGCAGTCTCAATCCCCTTTTCCAAAGCTTCGTCTATACTAACTTATTCTTTATCACATTCTTCTTTCTCTCTCTCTCAGGTGTGGTGCTCAGTACGTACCCCAGAGAGTGCCCACGAAGGCCTGATGACAGACCCCCACAGTCCCCCCAAGTATCGTGTCATCGGCACACTCTCCAATTCGAGAGACTTTGCGGAGCATTTCAGCTGCCCAGGGGGGTCGCCCATGAACCCGGGGCGGCGCTGCGAAGTGTGGTAGGGCGAGAATCAGGCAAGAGGAAGAAGAGGGGATCCCTCCAGGCACTGGACCTTTTATTCATATTTTATTTTTTTGTAGAAGAAGAATAAAGAAAACAATGCTGGAATCTTAAATGGTTGGCAGAGAACGAGAGACAAACAGAGACGGAGAGGGGAATTGTCTGTCTCGATATTTATGCCATGACACTGCAGTGGTGTCGTAACCTCCCTGTGTTATTGCTGTTTCACTCTTCTCTTGTTTTGACGGATTGTTGACGCACCCCACCCCTCATTAGTTCAGGTTGCCGGCTGATTTATTTATTTATGCTCCTCTGATGTCCGGAGAGGCCCACAGCATAATTGGACTAAACGCCTTGTCGGATGAGTACTGCCCTCCTCCTTGCTTTCCTGTTTTTTTCTTTGCTGTAGCCACGCACCCTTTTCCCTAGACGCCTGTGACGAGAGTGGATGAGAGGGATGGAGTATTGCAGCAGTACCGAAAATGCCAGGCTTTACCTGGAGAGGGGATAGCCTGTCGAACCACGGTCGTCCATTCCTTGTCCCTGCGTGTTTCTTTTCCAGATGTGGATTGTGTTCAAAGTTAAAATGAGACCCTTGCTTTAACTGCTTTTTGCCAAAGAGTAGCTGTGTGTTTATATCAGATGACATCGAAGACTAAGAGCAGCACAAATAGAAAAGGTACTTCCTCAGAATGCTACAGAATCATGACACGGGCAGACACACTGGGATGTCAGTAGTGGCATTTTTATCAATGAATTTATCCGTTAATAAACACTGCTGGTAAAAGTGTCCTTTTTTTGTGATAGAACTTGTGCGAATACCCAATCCAATGGTAGTCCGATACAGGGCCTTCCAGTCTACTCCAGTGCCAGTTTCTGGTTCAGCTAGTTGCTTAGTTATGTTAAAGATTAAATTTGCTAATTAAACAAAATTGTACACAAATTTTGGATTGGAGCAGATTGGAAAGTTAAGTATCTAGGAAGAGCTGGGTTAACCTTTTCAAGGGTTTTAGTCTAGGTCAGGGGTGCCCAATCCTTTTTAATGTAACTTTTTCATCTGCCAGTCCAACCAGTGTGAATTTGAAGCTCTGTTTAGGAAAAACCAGACTGTGGGCACATCAGTGCAATAGCGATACCCATCACTAACATGACAGCAAATAAAAGCAAGTGACTCATGCTGAACAAGTATTGTTCCCCATTTTAGAAAAAAGAATATCCTACCTTAATGTGAGCATTGGCACTGAGAAGCTTACTTGAAAACACTTCTAATTTTTTTGAACGTGTTGACACTGCTGATCATGTTGATGACTTTTTTATTTTGTCCCTGCAGCTCGACATTGAGCTCATTTAGCAGTTCAGTCAAGTCTGTGAGGAATGCTAAATCCAGAAGCCGCTGATCATCCTTTAATTGGGCATATTCACCATGTTTAGACGACTTGAGAAACTCTTTGGTTTCAGGCAACAGCTGTCTGAAACTTGACAAAAATGTTTGTTTCTGACATCTCCAAACAGCAAGTCGGCAGCCTTTGTATTGCTTCTCGATCCCTGAGTGGCTTTTTGTGTTTAGCCAGGACTTGGCTCACACGGAATGATGCGATGATTGCTGCTTTCCCTCTTGTATTAGGCCTCGTGAAAACCTGACTGCGGCTAATTGAAATTTTAATTTTTCCACTTTTCCTTTTCGTAATTTACTTTTAGCGGGAAAGTCCACATCATACGTTTTGTGTGCAGTTTTGAAATGTTGGTCTCTCTTTCCCTTTTTCATGTAGACGCTAGCTTTGCAGATTTGAAGGCGATAGTACAAAAAAATAATCATGCTCCCATTCCTTGTGGTAACAGTAAGTTTTCGGTCTCTTTGCTTCATCTTTTTCGCTCAAACACTACAACTATCAAATAGGCAATCAAACTTATCAAACTGTTGATGAATTTGTCACGGCCAGTCTGTTTCGCTCCACTATGCGCTGTAGCTAATGTGGGGTTTGTGCGGCAATAACCAAGAGAATGTTCTTGGGTAGCCCACACAACACTCTATTTACGGAGCTCCTGTAGCCTTTTTTTCAGTGTCAGCCAGCACTCAGGGAAGAGACCTTTACCACCCAATCAACAAGGGTTAAACATACACAAGGGCAGTTAAACATATGACATCACATGCACAGATCTGAATGAATTTTTAGGCTATTGAAAAAAGTAGTCAAATAGCCCATTTATTTTTTGCCAAACATTCTTGCGGTTGACTGACAAGCACTCTGGGATCGACTGGTTGGGCACCCCTGGTCTAGGCTTTCCTTCTGCATTTGATTTGTATTCTGTTTTTAGGACTTTCTTGGTATATTCAGGATCTCTTAATTTAACTACTATTATCCTAAGCAAAAAGCGATTTGCTTTTGTAAGGAAACATAAAAACAACAAGCTGAGCCTGGAGATATAGACAAAACCATGTATCATACAGCTCTTTCTTGGTTCCTTTGCTAAATTCTTTGACTACAAAACAGTTAAGACGTGCAGTTCATTGTGAAAGTTCACACCGTTTGCCTTTGGACGACACATCAGGTGTTTTTGTTTGAGTGTCATGTACAGGATCTTGAAATCTTTTGACACAAAGATAAAAGCACTTCACAGCACCAGGTACAATGCAGAGCTGACTGCAATACCTGAGCCTCGTACATGATGTACAGTAGGTTGTATTTTAGAAGGTGTAGAAGATGATGAATATTGATCCTCTGGGTGAGGAATTCATACTGGAAAACATGAAAAGTTCAATCGATGCTTTAGGGATTTCCACTGTCATTTTCACATGGCAGAGTGCCATGTCTAATCAGCTTATTAATCATTGCAGCTACTTCTTCACCTGATCTATTTAAAATTATGTGCTGGAGAGCTGAAGGGTGTGATCAGTCAGCTGCTCCAAGATACTGAGCAGGATTAGTCACTGAGGCCTCTCTCAGCTCTGTTAAAGGGTAAGTCCTGCAGTTTTCTGGGCTCCTTAAATCTTACCGTAATGTTGATCGATGTGAATCTTCCTGTCGGTCACCGTGTAGCTTTGAAGAATGACTCAAGGTGTGGGTGATGTGAGAGATACCTGAAGAAGGTCAGTTCTCAATTGGGTGGCTGCGTAATATACAGGTGATAATTCTGGAATTTTAGAAACAAAGTGGATTTGAATACCATTCTCTATGTTGTCTTTCCTTTGTTCTCATTTTCCAGTTCTGGTCCATGTGCTATTGTTAGAGAGCAAGGCAATCCACTTGGTCTTTCCAGTAGTTTCCCCCCTTTGAAACTAAACGTTTGTGCTTATAATTAATTTTTCCATGGTTTATTGCCCTGCTCCATGCCGGAAGACATCTTTGCTTAGCAGGGGATTCCTGTCTGGTCTGGTCCACAGTAGGGTTAAAGTGGGACTAGGCTTGGGGGAATTAGGGAAAGGAAAGCAAGATCGAGCCTTAAAATATTTGTATGTGTGCACAAAATGGAAACTTAAAGTATTGATGCCTTTAAATAAGACAGCTTGTGCCATTAACTGGAGATAACGTGCCAGGTTTCCTACAAAGGGCTCTGGTCACCCCAAGACGTCCTGACGGGGCGTCACATGTCTTTATATTCCACACTGGAGTCACATATTCACCATCTGGTTTATTAAAGTAGTCTGAACGGACCAGCTTCAAGACAAAATGGGACAATTCGAACATTGTTATGGGAAATAACTGCATCTTGCTTTGTTTGAATGCAGTCTTACCTAGGTAGACTACACATGATGCTGTAAAATCAAAGTTGTTTAGGATTGTTTTAAAAGACCATAACAGGTACGTCAGTAATATGTTATTAGATGCTAGGGTTAGATTCTTGTGTACTATACAGAGGTCTACCCCAAAGTGTGAGAGACCCTCCTTATTTGGAGTGGAGACCAAGTCAATTATTTTTGTTATCAGCGGAGTACTGTTCCTGCAGACTGACTGACTGTTGAAGCTGTGGGACAGAGAGAGGCACCACAGCTCCACTACAGAAGTAGCAGCTGAGGAAGCAGAAATGGGCAATGGCCAATGTTATTACCCAAGTGCTGGAAAACAGTCCCTTGAGACCCTGTGATCACACTGCAGTTACCTGGCAGGTTTGGGACTGTGGTGTTTAAACCACTTTCTGTCCTGTCAGAAAATATATCTGTGGCCACTTCAGTGTTGATTTTCACCTTACAAGTTTTTTTGTTGGTATCACATATTGGTTTAAAGCCTTATTTAATTTAATGGGACTAATTATTACTGTTGTATGTGATTATTTTATTTTATACTATCGATGTTCATTTTTGATAGATTGTTAAGATGACCTGCAGTATTTAATTTTTTGGGTTTATTTCGTGAAGCAAGAAGTTAGCTGGGATGAGCCACGTTTGGCATTGAAGGAGAAGGAGAAGCATTTGCATTCTGCTGTAGTACAGGACTGTAACAAAAGAGAAATAAAAGCTGTATTTAAGACATGAATGCTGCAGTGATTTAACATCCTGTTCATCTCCCCCTGTTGTCCTTCCACTTTTTTTTTTTAAAGCCACATCCAGCTCACAAATCCTAGAAAGGTAGTGTAACATCAGTGTACAACATAGACTGGAGATGTTATACACAACAGAACCAAGAGGGCTGCCTCACGTCTGCTCTTTTGCAAAGCTTAGCACACAACATGAAAGAGGAAACTGAAAGTTGTGTTCACATTTCCTATTCTTATTTCGTCACATCTCAGGAGCTCAGCAAGGGTGAATCTTTGCTGGGCAGAAAAACGGGAAACCCTCAATGAAAAATAGGTTGTTGTTCTAAGTGTTGTTGGTGGACTAATAGTTGGTACTCTTCCCTGTAGAACACAATTTTCAAATCAATGTCCCAGTATGGTGATCAGTGACATTGCAACCTAAAGGATGCCACATTAAACCAGATCCCTGGCCACCCAGTCATGAAAGGTCCCCGCACACTGATTGTTAGAAAGGGTGTTAAAACTGACCTACTTATTTCCATACTGGGCTTGTATACTCTGGCATCTCAGAAATTCTTACTTAATTCTATTGCTATAGCACTTTCTTAACCCTCCACCTGAGCTCCTGTGTGGAGCTGTATATTTAGAACACTTTGGGATCCTCTGGGATGAAGAGCGCTGAAAGAATTCAAATTTTCCTGTCACATGGAAAAACCAAAACATTTGTCATGATGTTTCTTTTCTTCGGAACAAGTAAGCATAACAATAGCTGTAAAATGGTTATCACACTGTGGTACACACTGGCTTGTGTTTATATTCATGCCCTAAGGATAAATTCTATCTTGTAATAATAATGAAGATAATCTGCCAGCAATCAACAGAGTGTGGATAAGAGCAGTAGTTTCAAACGTCATGGCTATTTCAGGGGCTTCCAGACCTGGACACCAGAGGACAGATATCTGGAGGACTTCTGTCTGTAAATCATCAACAGTTTAAGGCTGTGGAGAAAGTATAAAATTTAAGAATTTAGCTCTTCTTCCAAGTTCCCAGTTTTGCTGGATTCCGAATATGTAGGGTCTAGGGTTTACATTATTAAGGAAATTGTTTCTTTTGACTATCATCCAAAAAGTTTTTTGAACTTTTGCAGGAGCGGTTTTGGGATTTTTTTCATTGTCTGCAAGTTGTAAAGGGGAGAAACAAACTAGCACATATTCACAGCTGGGCCATGTCAAGTTGTACTGCATTGTCAAAGTGTGTTCTCTCACTGTGGAAGGATGGCAGCTGTTTCATCCAAGAATTTCAACCATCTTTCTTCAGTATGGTGTTTTCAGCATAAACATGCAACAGAACAGGTATGGTGAAAGAGCTCGTGTTCCAAACAAAGTACAGAGTTATGCTTTTGGACCAGCAAAAAAAGAATGTAAATGTAATTTTTCACTTTCTAAAACTAGATTCACTGTCACAAAACAGTAAAATGGTTTACATCTATGCTTGCGTTTATTCTCCAGCTTTCAGCCCTGATTTGAGAAAGAATGACTAAGGTGGCACAATTATTAATTAGCAAATTAAATTAATTTATTAAATTTATTTAATTAGCAAATTAAATAAGAATATACAGTATGCCAACACATTTGTTTGCCATCACTTGATGATAAACCAGCATCATGTTATCTTTCATCAAGAAATGTCTTTTTGGAAAGTGAAAAAATAGCCAGATTCTCTGGAATCCCTTCAGTAATTGCTGGATGAGATCCGACCCATTAGAACCAGCAACAGAATAGGCTAAATGGGTCAAATGGGCCCCTCTTTTTCATACCCTTTCTTATTCAGGTAAATTAACAGCAGCAAGCACATGATGCTAAAATAGTCCCCAATCAATTTTAACTTACAGTAACTGTTCCATTTATCCTTAATTCATACTAAAAAGAAATCCCATGCTGTGGTTATCTCAGCAGTTGAAAATTAGGTTTCTGTCTTCTAAACCCCTTATCGAACTGGGGCTCTTTCTTCCAAACGCTTGTTACAAAAATAAACAAAATAAACAAAATGGTTACATGTGCTGCAAAAGTTAACACACACAAATATATCTGATATATATTTATATCTGATATAAATATATCAGATTAGTATGCAAAAATTTACCAATTAACAAAAACAAGTATGTAAAAAAATGTTTTCACATCTGTGGAACCACATGAATGCAGAGAATGAGGACATCATCATTTTCACATCTGCAAGTTGGAAATATGTATTTTTGGACAGTGGTGTTGAGTATTCAGCTGGACAGGAGTTTTAAACCATCATCTACATCCCCACACCTCTTAGCCACATATACCGTAGTCCAGTAATGTTAAACTTCCTCTTTCCTTGGGCAGATCACTAAACCACACACACACAGAATATGCTGAAAGGCTCCGCTTTTCAGCTATTACTTTAATACAAAGTTATTGTACACTGAACAAAGTACAAAATATTACCATGGTCAATCACTCACACTTTCAACCATCATCAGTCCTTCAGATTTAACATACTTAATTTCCTAAGTACAGTTTTATTACATTTCTAAAATGTACAGTACATATCTACAACAAATACATGAAAGCAACAAAATACTAACTCAAAGCTTAGTATTTTGAATGCATAATCAGAAATAGCTTGGTTACATTACAGTAGTTGTGGTCCAGTGGTTGAAGCAAAAGCTTTGGAACTGTTCCAACCCCTGCTGTGTCACGAATCCACTGTGCATCAGCCTGAGCTTCCTTGTGCTTTGTCTTTCAGATGAGCGGGCAGTCTTATCATTAATATCCACTGCTGCTTGATGCATAGTTCACAACTAGCAGCTTTGGGTCTCCTGTGCAGAGTGGGTGTATCAAGCAGTGTCAAATGCCTACCACAGGTTCAGTGAAGTTTTTAGAACCACAAGACAAGGACAGGGGGATAAAGCATTAAGTCTACAGAGGACCTTAAACCTCCTGTTGCAAGGTGCTTGAAGGAGAAAAGTTATTCTGCCACAATACCAACACTAGTTGGCAGCAACTTATCTAGCATTACTAGAGATAGTAATACCATTTTACTAGTACTTGAAAAGGAAGTATGCTGAATAGCTTACCTGCATACATTGTTTCTTAGTGGCTAAAGAATGTATACCATTTTAATTAGAAAAGCTGTTTTTTTTTCCCAGAAGTCCTGTTTTATGGCTTTTATACATTTTTGAATGGTTAGAATACCATCTATCTCTTTTCTAATTAACTGTTTGCTTGCAGTCCAAACTAAACACAAGAAACCATTTATAAAAATTATCATAATTATTTTTATAGAGTTTGATAAAGTGTGGATTTTGCGATTTTGTTGGTGTACAAAGGCTTGCTATTTGTCACACAATAATTTTTTGTTAAGTTTGTTGTTCTCTTCTGCTGTCTGCATTCGGGGCTGTTGAGTCTTTTTCTTTCTTGTTCCTTTACACCTAAGGTTCATTGTGCTGCTCTCCTGGGTGATAAAAGCCTGTTGAGCCCAATGGACCTGTTCATAAAATAAAACAAAATTTACAAGGATGTACTATCAAAGCTCATTGATCGGAGGCACACTGACCTTATCTCCATATAAACCTGAACACTTTTAATTGATTTTGCTAGATTTGCAAATTCATTTAAAATTCACCTCACATAGATCTGATCTAGTTTAGGACTGTCCAGCCCTGGTCCTGGAAGGGCTGGTGGGTGTCTGCATGATTTCTAGATCTCTTCAAAGCGGTAACACTGAAGAGCTAGGAGAAGCTGTTAAAGTCACTAAATTAAGTGGAACTTAGCAAACTGAGGTCAGTGATTGGTGATCTGGAATGAAAATCTATAAATGCAATGACCGGCACCAGTAGAGGTGAACTCCAGTTCTTCAAGGCCAAAATTCTGCCTGTTTTGTAAGCCTCTTTAAAACATCAACAACTTATGACCTATGGAAAGCATTAAATTAGTCCAATTAAGATAATGACTATCTCAATTAAGTTATTTAGAGCAGAAGTGGAATGAAAACTCTCAGACACTGCAGCCCTCCAAGACTGGAATTGTACACCACTGGTGTAGTGAGTTCAGACATTTGTGGACAGATCGCACATGTCTTTCAATCTGCTGACAACTTCAGCATAGTACGTGAATGCTCGGTCTGTGCCTTTTAAGTTATTAACTGCCTTGGGGTGACTATAGTCACCCAGTCTGATAATGCTTTAGGATGATAATAATGCCTACTGTCAACAAAATGCATAATTAAGGAATGTATTTCTCGAGACAATCTAATGCTTTTGCTAGGCTTTCCATTTACAAATAGCAGCGAGAGACACTTCTTAGGAAAGCAATTAGTACAGATGCTAATACTGGAGTGTTATGAGGCCAAGCAAGAGTCAGGAGAAAATAAATGGCTAATAAGGGTGTATCAAGTGGTGGACCTCAAGTGTTCGACTGGGACAGCCACTGTGAAGGAGGAGTACTGCTACTGTGAAGGAGGAGAAAGGGTGAATGAATACAGAAGAAGCAAGACAGCAATAAACTGAACTGACAGGCAGAGAGGTAGTTTCGCAGCCCTGGTAGAGATTCATGATATCTGATCAGGTTCTAAAAGTATATGGAGTAATGCTTACAGTTATGATTATTTCCTGGTTATATTTGTCTCCAATATAATCAAGTCAATTGTCACAGAAAGAAACATATTTTGAAGCATTTGTCCAAGTCAGAACATTATTCCCCCCCATTCTTGTCTCAATTACTAGAAGCACACAGACCAGAAGGAGTTTGAAAGCGGTCTGGCTTTTATCTATTGGAACTAAAAATGCTCTGCGCATCAACACCAGTTTCTCCAAAGTCAGGTCCTGCAGCCATTCCAAATTTTGAGCTTGTGCTTACATTCCAACAACATTGTGAAATCAGAGGGACCAACCCACTTATGACTCACTCTTTAAAATTCTCTCTTTTCTTGACAGAGTGTTGCAAAATTTTCAGATTGAAAACTATTCCCATCAAGACCTTTACATTGATAAATCAATGGATTCTTTTTGAGGTGGACTGTTTTTCCATCACTACGTTCCAAGCAAGAATAAAATTTGGAATCAAGAGTTTGTCTGCTTCTAATTATACCTGTATATTCTATACAGTAGCTGTGCAATAGTGCAGCCTACACCTACAGAGGCTTGCTTTCTAGACAAAGGTCATGAGTATATATATATACACACCGATAATTACTACAGCCCACCCAGTGGAACAGTACGAATGAAATGCAGAGGAAATCCTCCTCCATTATGACAAATCCAATGCTATAATCATTACTATATATCATCATTATTAATGTCATGTAAAATACTGTTGGAGTAAATAAACCACAAAGTGATGAGATATTTTTAAAAATCTCATGTTTATTTTTCACATATTTATAAAAACCTGGGCTCTATTCACCAAGAGTATTTTTGGAAACAGAATGTGTTTCTCTGTTTATGTACAGTTCTTCATTTTGTGAATCCACTATAAAGCATAGTAAAGGCTATCAGTCCTTGTGGATCTGTGTGCATGTGGGAGGGCTAACATTCATTTCTGAATGATATGGTAAGCAAAATAATGCAAACAGCTACTGGCACACAAAAACTTGATTTACTCCTTAAAGTTGGCAGCCAGGCAGAACTGCATTTTCTTTCAGTAAAGTGTGCGTGTTAATTTTTAGGTGGGTAGCTGCGTCAGCATCCGTAGGCTGCAAAGGAACAAGCAATAGGTCTATTCCATGATTCTTTCTTAAGTTAATTTTTATTTCAGGGAAGGCCTTAACACTTCATTACTTCATTAACGTGTTAACCAAATATTTGGCTCTCTGGCTTGTCATGTTCTCAGGCTGCATTCTATCACACTGCAGAGGGAGAATGTACTTGTCTACCCCACAAACCCTGGTGACAGAACCGGATGACACACAGGTAAAACAAGTTTAAATTGCTCTTACCTGGCACATATCTGAGCTGATCCGAACCTGTCAAAAAGATATGCAAATGTTAAAAGATACAAGTAAATAAGTGAGGCTAAAGAAGTGTATGGCAATTTAGGACTTCTAAGTAACACTTTTATCCTCCAGTACGTTAGGGGTGAATATATCCATCCATCCATCAATGTTCTAACTGCTTTATCCAATTCAGACTCACAGGGGGGCTGGAGCGTATCCTAGCAAACACCAGGAGCAAGGCAGGGTAAAGACATGCCAGACTATCACAGGGCCACACACGCACCAGGGCCAATTTCCCCAGAATACAATTGACCTTTCATTATGTGTTAGGACTATGGGAGGAAACCACTCAAACAAAAGGAGAACATACAAACTCCACACAGATGGTACTCCAGGTCCAGAATTTAATCCAGTGCCTCGGCGCAGTGATTCAGCAATGCTAAACACTGTGCCACCATGCCATCCACCCCTATATACTGTACAGTGACTTGCAAAATAATTTCCCCGTTTTCCATTGATTGGTTTGTTGATTGCATACAATTGAACACTGTAAAGAAAAATCAACATCTGTGTATTCAACAAAATGGGATATTAGAAGAGGATGAATGTTACAAGGTACTATTTGTAAAACACTTTGAATTCCGTGGGGATGAAAAGAGATGTGTAAATGCAAGAAATTTACAATACAATTATTAATAAACTACTTATGTGTTTTATATTGTAGTATATAAAATTTAACTTTGATCAGTTACATTGACCACTTTCTGATTCAAAGCAAAATGCATTAATCCACCCGTGATCAATAAGATGCTTATCCACGTGAGGGCTCTGGCCAGTTGGAGCATAATCCAGAAGTACATGGATGGACAGGACTCCGTCCTGTTGCAAGGCCACAATGAAAGGAAAAATGTTGAAAAGCCAAACAACTAGAGACAATCTGAGAGCCCTGGAACTGTGAGGCAGCTCTTCAAGCATGGGATGTGTCTGCAGGGGGTTGTACTTAATGCTTCCCAGATTCTGCCCCAAAGCACTGCCCTTTGAAGAATTCTACCAAAAGCACCTGACTTGAGGAGACAGATCTCTGGAATTTCTTAATACTGTAATTCTGTCTCCTCTTGGTGTCTTTCTCACTCACCTTGTGTTCTTGTCTTCACAACACTGAGATAGTACAGTCCGGCACAAACCAGCACAGACAGTGCAAGGATTGTTAACAAAAATGCAAAAAAGGCTGGAATGAAGAACATAAATTAGTTTGCACAGTCTTCAGATATAAATGTATTATGTATTATGATATAAATATCATAATACAATGAGGACTGTAATTATTAGCATTACAGTCTCACATCAGTGTGATGGTAGGACAGTATATTATATGCACGAATCCTGGCTGTGACTGAGGTCTTCCACCCAGTGCCAGCTAGAGATTTCAAATCCTGACACAGCGGCACAAAGGGCCTTTCTATTACCCTTCACAGACCCTACACCCCACCCCCTCCTCATGTCCTCTCAAAGGGCAGGCGCTGGCCAGGCATGTTTTGTGATCACTTTCATAATCACTTGTTTTCGGGCTGGCTCCAGCCTGGAATGGATGTATTCTTTGAAGCCGCCCTTAAATCAGAGCTTAAACTGATCATGGGAGATTGCACACACTGTCATTCCTTAAACGTCACAGCTAAAAAGTTAAAAACAAGAAGATTCAATTAAACTATTTTTTTTGCTGAAAAGCCTTACTTTTATTATTCATTTGAGTGATGTACTCATTACCAAGCAACGAGCAATAAACAATAATAATATGCAATAGTAACAAGAACTAAAACCATTTCAAGACATGGTATATCATTTCTGTTTGTGCTTAATGGTATTTCAGTTGCTACTGCATCCAATGCTATTAATGCCAAATAAAACACTACTTAAATTAAACAATAAAAAAGTGTTTTCAGATCATCTAGAAAACCTCTTTACATTGCTCTTCAGTTTCAATCATTCTTACCGAGGTGGTGAGCAATGATGTACTCACCAAATTTACTCCGCAGTTTAGGAAAAGAGGGCTCCTGCAAGGTTCCATTCACTTGGCAGGCATAGCTATGTCTCTCCCGCTCCTGCTGGCTCACTCTGAGGACCTGCCTCACCTGGAAGCTCCCATCCCCATTGGGTAGCAGCTCTTCCCTACTCTGGCCCTCTGCCAGCACCCCCTGCTGGTCTACCACCCACTGCACCTCTGCTCCCGACGACGAGATCCCCGTCACAAGGCAACAGAACTCCCATGGCTCTCTTTCCACCTGGAACACTTCAACGTACACTGCAGACAACAAGCTTCCAGTTAAAAGGCCATCTTGATTCAAACATAGCAGCCACATGGTTGACACTGACTGGGATCTATCAAGAAATGTTCCTATGTTCTAGCACATCAATGTGTGCTCTGCGAAAATAATACAGCATTTACTCATGTCTCTATCATCTGCTCAAAGACAAATCAATTCACACTTATGCACACCAGCCTGCTGTTGTGCAGCTTTCATATATTATTAAATTATATTACAGCAAACTGTAATCCATATAAACATACTGCAACATCTATTTTAGAACAAAAACACCTTTTTAGAAGAAAACTAAGCAAATTTGAGGCCAGACGGAATTCCCAGCCTGAGCTCATTAATCAACACCCAGTATTTGTTAGGGACATGCCTGCTGGGTTTCTGCCTATAATGTGTCAGCCACTCCTTACCTGGCCTTTCCAGAGCTCCTGTCCCGTTGCGAATGAGTGTCTTCAGAACCTGGATGCACTCCTCCTCCAGGTACACCCTGCATTCCTGTGTCCTGGCTGTGTCAGCGTCCCACTTCTGTTTGACGCTCTGTGCCTGCGGGACAGCTGGGATCCAGGTGCCCGTGCCTTGGTCCAGGCTGAGGTAATCCGTTCCATCATAGCCAAACCGGTCAGACACCCGGACATCCCCATTAGCTTCCAGCTTGCACTCCCGCAGCCGCTGGTACGTGTGTGGCTCTGGAACACACACATGCATATGAACAAACCAAAACTATGTTCCTATTCCATTTCTAATGCTTCATTTGATCTGTACAAACTCTGCAGCCAAAGTTTTGCTTAGGGATTTACCACCACTGCTAATAATTACAGGGCAGCATGGGCGGTGCAGAGGAGAGGGCTGCTGCCTCACAACACTGGGATCCTGTGATCAATTCTGGATTTGTTTGCGCATGGATTTCCTCCAGTTTCCTTCCACAGCCTGAAGACATACTGGTAGGCTAATTGGCATTTGGGAAAATTGACTGTGGCGCAAGAGTGTGATTGTCTGTGTGTGCCCTGTGATGGACTGGTGTCCTGTCCAGGGTGTACCCTCCCTTGCGCTTGCCGGGATAAGCTCTGCACCCCCTCCCCACCACAACCCTGAATTCTATAAAGCAGTTGGAAAAAAATGGCTGGATGGTAATGAGCAGTAGGTTATTCTTTTTTTACAACTCCCTGCTTACCAGCAGTGGTGTGATTAAAGCTCTGCATCATCAGTAGCATGGTGGATTCAAAAACAATCAACTGCTCTCTGTTCCTCATCCTCTCGGTGTCCCAGAAGGCCGAGTCAAATGCCTCTCTCAGCCATTCCTGGCGCGGGACTATGTTTCCAGTCCGGCTGTCGTAGAAGAGGATGGGGACGTGGTTTAAAGTGAGCACTGCACTGAAGCTGAATCTGTCCACATCTCTGGCCACCCCCGTGTAGAGATACCGCAGAGTGAATGTGCCTAAAAGAAAGAAAAATAGCACTTGAATGTGTAGAGAGGCCACTCAATTGTTTTAACACAGTATTACCCAAGTAAACACCACCAGAAGATGGTGTATCCAAAGCACACTGGACTGAGGAGTCATGACCACGTCACCTGTGTGTCCACTTCATATGATTCAAGACTCCCTTAGTGGTCAGTTTTACACTAATTCTGAGACATATTTTCCAAATGCAACGGGATGTTTCAGGGACACTAGCATACACCCTCACAGTAAAACACTCAGATAGGAGAAACTTTATAGAGTTCGGGTGTGTATCAAAAAAAATATTAATTTTGGGAAGAAATCTTTATTTTATACAGCACCCTTCAAGACACTTTACTATATAACAAGACAGTCAGAGACAGGTGAACAAAATGCAGTAAGTTGAACATTAAAGGCTAGAGTACAAAAAGGCAAGTTTTATGACAGGATTTAAAAATGCTGATTGATGAGCTTGATCCAGTATGGGCTGGGATATCATTCTGCAGCTTTGGAGCAACAGAACAGAAGGCAGGGTTTCCCTGTGTCTGGATCCTTGATTTGGGAAATGAAACAAACCCGAGTCCAGAGAGTGCAGATGATGTGTAGTGTGTCGAGAGTTAACAACTCCCTCATGTCGTCAGGACCAAAACCTTCAAGCATTTAAAGGTGAACAGCGGAACTTTGAATTGCAAATTGCTATGACAAATTTCACACTGTTAGAAACAAAGCAATCTAAAGACACTTTACTTCTACTCCACCTAAATCTTTATCAAAGCTAGCAATCATAAGACCATCTCTCTGGACAAGGAACAGCTATAGTCCAGTGTTACAATGGGCTTATCTTTTTAAAAGCTGCTTACATTTTTGAGATTCTTGATTTTCACATCTTTGATCTTGTGTTATTTTTGGCTTTTACTGCGTTTTTATTTTCGAGTTTATTCGAATGTGTGACTTCATTTTAAAGTTATACTTTCAAAATAGTTGGGGGAGTTGTCTTGGTGATTGCTATAAGATGGATCCTCAGAACTTGAAAGTCTTCTCATCCCCAACTCAAATTGAATTTTGTAATTCAGCGGGTTGCATTTCACGGGATGTGGCTTTTAAATCGCTTTTACAGAAATGACTAAGCACCAAGTTAGCCCGATTCGTGCATCGATTAGACAGGGGACTCCAACTCTGGTTCCGCAGATAACCACTCAAACGTTCTAGGTCGCAAGGAATTAAAGTCAATATCTAAATTCCTGTAGCAATTTTATTCTATATTCAGTTCAGCTGGTGAATTGTTTAATTACTTTTAGAGCACATTTGAGACCGAATGCCGGATATTCTTCAGTGCACAAGTGGAAAAGTTATCTTAATTAAACATAGGTCTTTCTTAATTGATTTACAGGGATTTCCCGTTTCTACGAACTGTGGACCTTTTAAACTGGATCTGTACCTTCCAGCACTTATTAGAAAGTGACAAGCAGTCGTTCCAGTTTAGGGAAGACATTACAAACTGCTGTTTTTGTTTTATCCTCAGAGATGTCGGTTAATAAGGTTGTCAGTTGAATTAATTAAGTAAAATCAACATACTAGCTACAAAAACAATTCAGGCGTCTCTGTTTTTAAATACAGTACACCTGTAGCAGCACGCCGTCCAATACCTATTCCGCCACCTTAACATATTGACGAAATGTGTGTGCGTTAACAGGATTAAAAAGGTTCTGTGTATGCTTTAATCCTACTAGTTAAGAAAAATGGAATTTATGAAAACCTTACCTGCAGTGACAGGAAGAGTCAGAGTCTGAAAAAAGATGAAGATGAAAAAAGGTCGCATCGCTGGGAATAATATACAGTATGGATTACATAGAGAGGGGTGTTAAAATCTTCTCAGTGGAGTTCTCAGTGCAAAACGTAACAAACCTTTATTTTTTTACTTTCGTTTTCTGCAAACGAAAGTGCAAAACCCGTAACGTGTCCCGAACTAGGTTAGAAAAACCAAATACGCATTAAATTAAGGCAAATAGTTGTGCGTTTTATCCTGCACTGCAATCTCCACAGACCCACACTCAATTCACAGCCCTACAAAAATACACCTAACAGCCGGTTGACGATTATTCTTTTCGAAAACCTAAGTCGTCATTCCATTGGTCGAGCGAGCGACAGTAAACTGAAGCCTTTTAAACTCCAGCTGTTAAAGGGAGAGTCAAGGAAACCACGTGTTTTTTTTTATCATAATAACATCGAGGTCACGCCAAGATGACCTGGTCGCAGGAAGAGAAGAAAGACTGTTTATAAGCCCAGGTTTTGTGCTAAACCCGGAAAAATGTCATTTTTACCGTGGATGTGCCAACAACAGGTGCCGTAGGGGTTAAGAGACAGACGTAAACTAGTCAGTGAGGAATTTACCTAAAGACAACATTCCTTATTTACCTGTAACGGATGACTAAATCCTTAATCTTGTTAGTCTGCTGTTTTAATATTATACAGAATCTATAATTATTACCCTAGAATTGTAATACTGTACTGTATGAGCAGACATGGCAATGAGAATTTTGAGAATGATTGAACCTGTTGGATGAAGATTATATCCACTGTCTGCACTGAAATGTATATTGATTCAGCATATTGATTCGTGTCTAAGGGTCAGTCATCTTATACATCTATTGATAAAGATGGTAACACCTGAAAATTACTGACAACTAAGACAGCAATCTGTTCAGTTAGGAGAACACCTTGAGGGTGGAAGAGAATTTGGATTTTGATCACAGATGATCTTTAATTTACTTTTTTTTCAAACAAATTAGCTGCTTAATTGATTGAATGGTGATCTAATGGTGGATCAGGGCTCTGCAGGACCAGGACACGAGACACCCCTCATAAGGAGATGTATATGCAGATCCAAGGGATTTTTAAAATACTTACCAGTTTTACATCTCACATACATGTATGTCTGTCACTTAAACTGACATGGACTTAGAATACAAAAAGCTGTTTATTCATGAGGAATCCAGTTCATAGGAATCATATACTTTGCACATTCTCACTATTTGTATAGTACTCATACAAATAGTACTATAGTACTCATATGTGTATTTAATTATAAATATATTCACTATGCAAATTGATAACTAATTTTTGTTCTCGTTTTTCTGACTGATTGTGTGCTTGGGTTAATTTATTGAACTTACCATGTAGGGAACTGAAGCTTTTTTGCCTGGAGAGGAGAAGATGATGGAGAAACTTGATTCACGTTTCCAAAATAACCAAAATAGAGTCATCGAGTCTACTCAGGGACCAGCTTCAGAATCAGCAGTAACACAAGGGCCTAAGGGCCGGAAAACTGTTTCACACAGAGTTGACAAGTTGACTTTCTGGGATCCTAGAAAATCTCACCTATTTTCTGGGAAGGTTAATAAAACAATTACACAGCCAAAGTATATGAATGCTATTTTAGATGTTAAATGTTAAAGGCAGATCACCAACAGTGAGACAAGCATCTCTGTCTCCAGTTCTTGTGTGTAATTACCACAGAGATTAAAATGATATTCGTAAGGACTGGAGCCGTGGACAATTAGCAACTCTCTTCTAACAAAAGGTGGCCCTTTGATTACAGTTAACACACAGAACAGATGGTCACACCCTGAAATACACAGATAACTCAAGAACTGTCTTTTGAAAGGACAGTGTTCATGGGCTCCTTCACCCACTCTGCTGAATCAAGAAGCCTCTGTCAATAAGACAAGAAAAGGGATATTTATTAATTATTAAATTAGCTTTTTTTGTTTTATAGTAGGATTTTATGTTTGAGAAGTTACATAGACAGGTCATTTTTCTTGAACTTTAACTGTTACTTCAATACTGTTATATATTACTCTGTGCTCACAAACAATAGGCGATTGTCTCACATCAGGTGGAGTTGTCCTTCTCCTTATCTCCTGGAACAGTGGAGGATTCTGAATTTCGTAGGAAAATAAGACAAAAGAAATTAAGCTAGTGCAGTGAGCAAGGTCAAATAATGTGTACTATTTATGTGAAATTGATCTGAAACAATTTTACCACAACTGCAATTTTCAAAAATTTAAATTGACAATTTAAACAAAAATTCCAGATATCACTTTCGATTTAGCACTTTCTTTTTTGATAATGAATGGGAGTTTTAATTGCCAGAAGTGGCTATAGAAACAATGTCATATTTGTTTGAATGATTGATTGTTAATTTGAATAATGTTTTAATGGTATGGACAAAACGTAGGGATCTCTCCTGCACTGGTGTCTAACAGAGTTGTTTGTTTTTACTTTTGCTTCTTGGTTGTTGATGTTTTACCAAATAATAGATTAAGGTTTTTGTTTCTATTTCAGTGACCACAGGAAATGTTTACACTCTGGTATCTTGCATTCTGTTCTGTTGTTAACAAACTGAAATGGAAACTTCTTGTCTTGCTCCACCTCAGTATGAAGAGCTGTACACCACACACTCTGCCATTTGGAAACAAGACTGCCCTTACTGTGAGAGGAGACTGGGGTGTTTGTACAGAACAACAGGAAAATAAAATAATTTTTACTAGTTTCGCTGCAAGTGACATTAAATTACATATTTCACGATTTCTGAATAATGCATGTGTGAATGTGTATACATTCTTAGCCTCCGGCATACATCCAGTATACTGCTCAGGAATTAATTTATTAATTAACTGGATCTGTGTAGGCTTAAGACAACCACCACCAACGTGCCGCCCCACCTGGATGTTGCGACGGCAGCCATAGTGCGCCAGTACGCTCACCACACATCAGCTGTCAGTGGGGAGGAGAGCAGAGTGACGAAGCCAGTTCATAGATGAGGTCATAATTGGTAAGGGCCAATGGGAAATTTGGCCAGGATGCCGGGGTAATGCTCTTACTGTTTTCGAGGAATGCCCTGGGATTT